GGAGCCTATTGAAAACCTTGCTCATACCACACTGAAACCAAAAGTGTAACCCACACTGCTAATGCTAGTGATGTCTTGTAAATTTAGGCCACATTACCCAGACAGAAATTCCAGCCGTTAAAACACAGATAATGGAAAGCCAGTGTAAGTACTGACCAACATTCTCAATAAGGTTAAACACCAACATTACATATTGAACCATAAGCGCAATTGCTTTGGGGTCATTGACAATATATCATCATGCCTCCAGTTTTCTGGTTGGTTTGGTGGCTGAATTCCACTTCATGGAAGAAAAGGCTATTACTCGCTTTTTAGTATTTTATTGGATTGTGCACTAAATTAAACACTGCATTTTATATCACAATGAACTCTCAATGTGAGAAATGTCATTCTTGAATTTATAGTTAATTTTGAAGTCAGCTTGATCTGTGCAGAACAAAGCAACAGACTTTTGGAATTTGCCTGTTTTCTGTTATCAGTATTAACCAGTCTAAGATAAAATTTTTCTTTGTACCTCTTCTCAACAATTTCCACATTTCTGCTGTATGAAGTTGCAAAAATAATATATTGAGTCCTGAGGAATTAAGATGAATCGAACCAATGTGTCTTTCTTTCATATGTAGCTTTAACAGGGTAAAGAAAGCCTTTGCTCTAAAATTATGAAACGAAAGATCAGGTAAATTATTAAAAACTGCTGTCAAGTTAGTTGTTTGATAAGAATTAGGAACTCAGTCTTTACTCTTAGCTCAGTATTGAAATTTCATGACCATACACCACAGTATCAAAAGAATATCTTACACTCATTTAAAAAAAAATCAGTCATATGGAGAAATACTAATAAATGATTGTACCTCCATGTCACACCTCTGTATTACTTCAGATTACATATTATCATTAATAAGGTCATTGGGGATAAAAACAAACACCGCTATCATTCTTCAGTATTTGATTTTTTTTTTAATAAATGACAGGGAGTATTCAATTTATCCTAACCCTTAATGTATTAATCCTGGTAAGAATCCCTTATAAATTGTAATAGTATATATAAAAATATATTATCTTCATTAAATAGCTCGGGAAATTAACATCTGTTCTTCCTGTAGTTGTTTTAACAGTGTAATAGTTTTACTAAAGCCAATGGCGATCAAAATATAGAAAAACAATAAGACCATGATGTTGCTTTATGAGCAGCCCTCAACATGCACGATTTATATATATTGTCTAGTTTCAAATCAGCACACTTGTCTACAGCAGTCTGTGAGTTCTTTTAGATACAAAGGAAAATAAGCAAAGGCAAAAAGAAAAAAAAATTGTTTCTAGAAAGGTAGTATTTTTTCAAACATCACACACAGTTGTGCATTTATTATGTGCCAGGTACTTTATTTGTTAGAGGGGATCAGAGATTAACATCACATGGGCAGTTTCCTTGAGAAAACCCTACAAAACTAGTAGGAAGGAGAGTCAAACAGACAATTATAACACAGAAAAGTAAATGATATGGAAGAGGGCTTCATATGATGCTTGCTAGGACACCAAAAGGGCAAGGAGGAGATTCTAGGGCAGACAAAGAGGTCAGATCAGGATTCCTGGGGTGCTAGAGTCCCTGCTGAATTTTTAATATTGTATGGGCATTATTATCCTGAACACATAGATGAGCCCAAGTAAGAGATCTTCAGAAAGGGGCGCCTGGGTGGCCCAGTTGTTAAGCGTCTGCCTTCGGCTCAGGTCATGGTCCCGGGGTCCTGGGATTGAGCCCCGCATTGAGCTTCCTGCTCAGCAGGAAGCCTGCTTCTCCCTCTCCCACTCCCCCTGCTTGTGTTCCCTCTCTTGCTGTCTCTCTCTCTGTCAGATAAATAAATAAAATCTAAAAAAAAAAAAAAAAAAAAAAAAGATCTTCAGAAAGCTGCAAGTAGCTCATAACTGCCGGCACCCAGTCTGTGAGAGCACTTCCAGAACTTTCAAGGGTTCAAAACACCTCTTCATTATTTTGTTATAAATATTATAGTCTTCAAAATACACATTCCAGTAGTTGTCAAATTTAAGAAGTACCACACTCTATAATCCAATTGGTCATTGTCTTTTTTTTTTTTCTTTGTATGATTTGAATCCTGGAGTATTATTAACCAACTGCTATGGATGAAATGACTATCTCCTCTAAAGATAGGGACCTTTCTTCTCTTTGTGCATGAAGATAATGGTGCTTCTCTAAAGCAGGGGTGTTTTAGTAGTTTATCTTTTTTTTTCTCTTTATTCAGTAGTGGACTACACAATTAGAAACTGAAGAACACATGCATTTTTATTTTATTTTTTTAAAGATGTTATTTATTTATTTGACAGCACAAGCTGGGGGAACAGCAGACGGAGGAGGAGAAGCAGGCTCCGGGCCTGACGGGGGGGCCCGATCCCAGGACCCTAGGATCATAACCTGAGCCAAAGGCACACACTTAACTGACTGAGCCACCCAGGTGCCCCAACACATGCATTTTTAAAAATTAATATGCTAGTCTGTCCTTTATTCCTTTATTCAAAAATACGGATTTTTAACAGTGATGTAAAAAGCAGGCAAAAAGTTTAACTCTTTTATTATTTTAAAATGTCTCTGTCGAGGTAGCTTTAGCCATTAATCAAATAAATGAGATAGATATTTGGAGTCTTCTGCATAATAGTGAAAGGGTTCAGTCAAGGTACATGTGAGTCTGGACAGGAGGCATAGATCTCAGAATATTTGAATGTCTGGCACTCATTTATTCTCAGGGTTAAATTTGAGGTTTTGTAAAAGAGGATGTCCTTTTACAGACTCGGCTAGATGTACCTACTACACAGAATTGGGCCTCATACATTAACTCAAAATTTCACCTGATTCTGGGTTCCACTTGATTGTTTTCAAAATGTTAGGGTCATAGGCGTCTTTTTGAATATAGGATTCTGTTCATTCAATCAACTTCTCTTGAAAGTTGAAGATACTCATATGTCAGATAATTTATACCTCAGACCTGTGCTGAAATTCACCAATCAACAGCCTCTGGAAACTAGATTATGATTTATACTTTTGAAAACCTGTGACTTTTCTAAGAAATTGTGACTTCATTCTCTTCTTCTAACTACAGTCCTTCGAAGTCTGAGATTCTCTTGATCTTAAAATTCTTAGTTTGCATTTTCTGTTTCATCTACTTGACAGTTTAAACTTAATATATTGCACTGATTCAAATAAATAAGCAACACCCTTGTTTTTCACTTGCAGTTTCAATTTTAGTGTTGAAGGTATCTAATTTTACCCCTTAGGTAAATCACCTTTATCTGTCATTCGTGATAAAAAGTTGAGTATCAGAAGTTTGAAGCTGTAGAAAGTCTTGATTTAGGAGAGCAGTTCAGTGTATCTCTTTAACAGCTTCCTATGACCAAATATTTGGACATTTGGCTGGATTAGAACAAATATAAAATGTATGTCCTACCAGCTTTTTTCAAGTAATCTCTAAAGTGGCAGTGACTAAAGGGTCAAACAAGTATTACATTCACACGCTTGGTCACTTTCCCCTTCTCATAATGCTGTGGGTCAGTTTTCCAAATCGAGATGCAGACCCTTCACAGGTATTAGTTGGGGAGACCAATAATTCTGTCTCATTTGAACAAACTTTTTTTTCTCATGTCATTGCAAATTTGTCATCTCTGAGGAGCGAACACAAAAATGTCTCCAATTATTTCCAATTATTTATGGGTATTCTTGTTCTCTACTGATCTGTGTGAAGTGTATAAGTAGGAAAAAAAAAATTGGAGGCTTCAAAAAAGTTTTGTGGCTCTTAGCCACCTCTGGGTCAGGAGCCTCCATTTGTTTCCTAGGCTGTGGTTCAATTCCAAGGATAAGACTGGAGGGTTATCGGGGTCAGATTTTGGAATAGCAGGATCAGAATGGTGATTTTAGAGTATCAAAGAGAGAAAGAAAAGTATGTCAAATAAGAATGGCCAGATCAGGACAGAACACATAATGGGGAGTAAGGAGGGTGGCTAAGAAAGTCAAATTCAAGTTTGAGAAAAGTGGCTGCAACTCTCAGAGGTTACTCGAGACTTTAGGATTGTTTTGAGGTTCATGGTTCACAGATGGGCAGGGCTATTGAGAGACACCAGTGGGCAGTATCAGCAATACTCTGTTACAGAGTAGTTGTTGTTTTCCTACAAAATTTTCAGTATTGATTCTTATTGCCGCTTTTCCAAACTACTTTCTTTTACCCAAACCATTTAAGCACACTTAATGAATAATAATTATAAAAATATATTAGTGAGAATTTTGAAATCTGAGAATATTCAGAGAAAATTTCTGTGGTTACGTGCTTGCAATAGGAACCGATGAAGTAGTAGTTTTTCATAGAAATACTTTCAAGCTCTCATTTATGTGACACGAGTGTGAAATATTGCTCATGATGTGACATTTATTTATACATCTATATTCCAGTAATTGTTTATGCAGCCATCATTCTCTAAATTATTAAATGTCTATACAAGAACATGTGATGAATAATAAACGTGATTGGAAATAAATCCATATTGATAGAAAATTCTATCAGTTTCTTTTGCAGACCCTCCAAAGAAATCACTAGTGGCCTTTGTGAAAACAGCCCATTTCTGTATTTATCACTAAACCCCGCTTTTAGTAACCTTTTTTTAGCGTGTTTTCGTTCCTTTGGAATATTTCCCAGACACCTCTCAGAATAACCAGTACTGTCCACTCACATGATAAAAAAACTGCTAACATCTTTCATTTCATCACCTGCATACTTCTTGGGAGGAGTGAAAAAACCCCTATGGGCCTGAAAACCCATACATTTATTTACAAAACCCAGTTTGGTCCTACGTTACTTGATGATACTCACTGGTACACTGTTTCCAGTACCTGCTTTGCAAAAGGTCAGTTTTTTGTCTATTTTATCTGAGCAATTAGATTCTTACTAAAGTTGGCAAATACGTAATGGCTTTTCTGGTTTGTTTGTTTGTTTGTTTTTTCCAAGGGCCCCCTGTTTCATCTGGAACTGCACAGGTCCGAAAGAGGAAGGGGCAGATGTCCTTCTGATGCCAGCTCCTCCTTCACCTCCACCTTAGTTGGTAATTATTGTTGCCACAGACATCAGTTGGTCGCCATATCGGTTCTGAAACTTTGGTTAGGTCCTTCTGGTGTTTCTTTACAGGTGTAGACGAGTCATATTTATTTACCGGTGCAGAGAGCAATGATACTAGATTTCAAGTCATGCTAAATTGAACCAATTTGACTCTAAGATAAGTGCAGCTACTGTGAAGTATGTGTGTGTCCTTCTGAAAGTACAAATTGTTACTTAATATCTGATATAAAACATCTTGTATTATGCTGTTTATTGTTCAAAAAATACAGTTAGAGGAAGACTTTATAAAAACCTGGCCAGAGAAACTGAACTAGTATTTCAATTACTCTGTGACTTTAGGGAAACTTTTAATATTCTCTTCTTGGTGCCTTTCTCTGCATCAGTAGAATTCATCAGAAGGCCGTCTCAATTGAGAAAGTTAACGTTATTTTTCTAAACTCCTGTTAATCTAGAATGTTAACTATAGAGGTTGACCAGTTCAAAATTCCATTAAATGTCCACATTGAAATAATAGAATAAGCTGGCATGTCTGATCTAGATTTCCATTTGACTCCATTTAATTAGAGGAGGTACTTGAGTACCTCACTTAAGACACAATGAAGTTATTTTTCTTTCTCGTTTATATTCTCCGGGTTTAAAATGGCATACTTGGCAAAGTACTCCAGCACTGTGATGGTACAGATGGATGAGTTCCCAAGTATAAAGTAGAAGAGAGCTCTCCCCGACACCTAACTAGGTGCTATGAGGAATCCTTTTTTCTCAGGGTTGTGAGGTTCTGATATAAGTATTGTACAGATGTACGGATTTCTATTATCACATTTGTAACACTTAAAGAGTTATAGGCTAATATTAGGTCCTCCTATTGGCAGAAAATGGGAAAGTGTAAAATAACATGTGGGGACTTGCTATCATAAAGAAAGGGTTAACACTTAAAACTCCCCACTGAGGAGTAATCAGAATACCATATGCTTGATTTTGAGTTGATACAGATATTCCTGTGTATTCTAGAAATTATATAGTCCCTGAACTCATCCAGACAGTTCACTTTGATGGGGACTTGCATCCCACTCTGTACTTCCCCATCGCAGTCATGGCACTTAAGTCCATGTAAGTAAAGCTTCTTTTTATATATAGTGGACCCTTGAACAACATAGGTTTGAACTCAGTGGGTCCAGAAATATGCAATTCTTTTTTTTTTTATAAATACAGTGCAGTACTGTAAATGTATCTTTTCTTCCTTCCGATTTTGTTAACATTTTCTTTTTTGTAGTTTAAGAATACAGTAGATAATACATAAAACATGCAAACTGTGTGTTAAATCAATTGTTAGGTTATCCATTAAGGCTTCTGGTCAATTAGTAGTTAAGTGTTTGGGGAGTCACAAGGTCTTATTCAAATTTTCAACTGCAAGGTCAGCGCTTCCAACTCCTTGGTGTTCAGGGGTCAACTGTATATCTGTAGAGCAAAGATCTTCTGATAGCTCTAATTAATAGGGAAAGATTGATTTGCTTCAGCCCCATAATTTGAAAAGGCTCTAAAATGAGATTTCACTTAGTAATTAAGTTCTTCCGGAACTTGCATAAAGATATGTAATATTCTTAAAAAGTATAATATTTTAAAGAAAAATAGTATTTTAAGATAGCTAGTGTTCCTCTAACTTTGTGTGTGTGTGTGTGTGTGTGTGTGTGTGTGATAAACAGATTATGAGGAAGGGAGACTTCATTCATTCATTCATTCATTTATCTTAAAAGAATTTATTTATTTATTTGACAGAGACACAGTGAGAGAGGGAACACAAGCAGGGGGGCAGTGGGAGAGGGAGAAGCAGGTTTCCCGCCGAGCAGGGGGCCCGATGCTGGGCTCCATCCCAGGACCCTGAGATTATGACTCGAGCTGAAGGCAGACACTTAACGACTGAGCCACCCAGGCACCCTGAAGGGAGACTTTAAATATGAAAATAAGATGGACTAAGTTTAAACTTCAGTAGGAATCAAAATCTTAGGAGGGACACTTTGAATGAATGCCAGATCCATAAATGTTAGAAATGGCAGTGTATGCATTAAAATCCATGCATTTGATAGATAATTTTTTCTAATGCTTTTAGTGCTTTTTGGGGGGGTAACTTCACAAATTTAAAATTTGAATATGTTTGGAAGAGATTTTCTTATCATTTCTTTTACCGTACATCTTGCACAGAATAGGCCTCCTATAAATATTCACCAAGTAGACTCAATATTCCTAAACAAGCAAAAAACAAATTTTGGGATATTATTCATAAGAATATAACAAGTGATATTGAAAGTGGAAAATTACAGAGTAAACACTCCTTCTATAGTGAAATCCTAAGAAGATTAGCACACCATTTAATTTTAACATTTCATTTAAATGGTTTAAACAATTCCTTTAGTCACCCTGCCACTCACCACTAAGCCTCCCTGGAGTTTATTTATGCATGAAACCAGGAACTTAAAACTGAATTTTTTAAGAGGGGAAATATTACTGGAGGGACATTTCCAAGTGAGTTTCATTGAACTTCCAAATCAAATTACACTGTGCTGAAATGTGAAGTGCTTGCCATCTGGGTGGCTGTTTCGCGCATTCAGAAGAGAAATCAAATCATAAGAGCCCTCCAAACTAAACACAAACGTTACAGGAATAACCCCTCCAAAAAGAAGAAATAAAAATATAATTCTTCACATTTATCCACTAGCTTTCATCCCAAAGTACCTTTGAAGGATCATTCACTCCTTGTAGAATACCCAGTAGCCGCTGAGACGGAAACCTGATAACCTATGTGAGCCAGCAACTCTGAGAGAGAGGAAATAAGAATAATTCACCCAGTTGAAAAAACAGCAGGAATTTGGGCTGGAAAAACGGAGCTACCTGAGGTGGAATTTGGCAAGCTCGGTGTAGCTTACTCCAACAGGGAAAGAATGCGTTATTGTGGTATTTTATGGCCACACATGTACTCAGCTGATGGGTTAGGACAAGACTCCAGCAAAACGATGACCATCTTGAGACCACAATCCTTCTTTGTTTGTTAATTGGGGGTCACACTTCCTGTTGAGTGCCTGTTCACCTTAAGATGCGCTTTCATGAAAAGAAACTCGAATTTGTAACAATACTCATAAAGCTAACAAGGCCCCCAAAGGAAAAAAAAATGTGCTGGCAAATCAAAGAACATCTTATCATTTCTTAACTTTAGATACAGTTTTCATTTCAGTTAACTTAAATTCAGTTGGCTGAAGATCACGTGAACTAAAAAGATTACCGAAAAACTGAATGAAGAAAGATTATTTGCTAGGTAAAAGACAAGTTAACAAACATGTTTTAATTAAATTTATCATCTAATTTAGAAATGAAATGTTAGTATCTTGCAATGATGCCATGTGAAACAAGATTTAAGGAGTAAAACAACCTCCTTGTTTAGCTATGTTCTGAATGTTCACACATCAGTCGAAATGAAATCATACATTAATTAAGGTTGCTCTCCAAATGCCACTTGATATTAACATAATTTATCCTGGCGGCATATAAATTTGTAATGCAGGTGCAATATTTCTGCATGTTTAGCCACATTTCCCCCTACCATGATTACTAATTTTATATTAAAAATGGTCTTAAGTAAGTATCTGAGGAATGTAAGACATTACAACCTGGTTTTAAAAACACTTTGTTGAAACACTGGAGTATTTAGTAAAATAAATTGATGTATTACTTGCCTATACCTTTTATTTCATCCAAAGGTAGTACTTTTATTGCTACCAAATTATTCGGTTTGGTGACTAGCCAAATGAAAATTCAGGAAATAACAAATATATATATATATATATTTAAGAGAGGGGATGGTGAGCAAAGGGAGAGAGAATCTCAAGCAAACTCCATGCCCAATGGGGAGCCCAACACAGGGCTCCATCTCAGAACCCTGACATCATGACGTGAGCTGAAATCAAGAGTTGGACACTTAACTAAATGAGCCACCCAGGCACCTTTGGCCAGGAAGGAAAATATTGGTTGACTCTTTCATCAGCTCTGTTGGATTTAATATTGCAATATTCTTAACAAGTTTATAACACCTTCAGTAACTGCAGGATTTTCCTTATACTTTGCCTTCTCAATTCTATTGCCTTTTTTTTTTTTTTTTTTTAACATTTCATTCTGACCCAGATTTGTAGTTCCAGGTGTAATTTTATATTTACCATACTTGTCATGACTATGGTTCGCTCACATGCATGTTGTTAGCATTTGGGGGAAAACCACTCTAATTTGTCACGTACTTTTTCTTTGCTTTCAAAGTGTTAGCTTTGTTGTTAGGATATTTTTAGGATGAACTTCTCAACTTAAAGACTTAGTAAATTTTATTTCAACAAATAACCATGAGTAAGATATTTTAGGCACTGAAATTTTCTTTCTACCCTCTTTTTGGTCCTATGTTACCTTTTTAAGCAAATAAAATTACAAAAGTTTATAGCCACTGAAATTTTATTCCTGTACTTTTATTCATAATTATAAGACCTTTGTGAATATATCTGCTCATTATATATTCTGTAAATCGAAGGTCAGTGTTGACTGAATGAAAGGGAGCTGGAATATATGCAGAGGAGATTTAAGTGATTATTTCAAGCTATTAGTAGCATTAATTTTTTTAAAAAATAAATGTTCCTTTTAAATTAATTATATCCAGGAGAGAGTTACGAATGAATAGTTCTGGCACAAAATATGACTTAATAAATATTAGAAAAATAAGTGAAAAATCTAAATGAAGATAAAATGTATGTCTTTATAACTGCAGCCTCTGTAAATGTAACAAATGAAGCGTATTGCCTTATTTCTTGAATTCACCCCAGTTGTACAGAAATTTATACTTAAAGTCATTCCTTTGCCACGTTCCTGTCCCTAAAAAATGTCTGTAATTTCTTATCCAACTCTCTTGCTCTCTCACATTTGGCAAAATGCCAATTATCCACATGCTTATTGTTGCTTCTG